GTTAAGAGAGAGGCCAGATGCTTTCCATGCACTAGCCTTACAATCTACAGTAGTTGTGAGAGTTTACTGACACAGCCAACCAGGCTGATGCAGGGAGTTAGCCATTCTACCATAATTCAGTCCTGTGTAGCTGAAGCTATAGTAATATGCGAAAATGAAAAAAGAATTGATTACATTATAAGGCACCTTTGAGATGCTGCAGAATGCTAACAAACAATATCCATTGAAAAAGTTCTTCAAATGGTTTTGAACAGAAATGACACTAACTCTTTTGAAGAATTTAAGAAACTAAAAAAAAAAAATTACATATGTGATTTCCTCTTAATAAACTTTTCATATGCATTTAGACCAAAATCTTAGACCAGCTCATGGCTTAGAGACACATAGCCCATGCTTAGGGAAGCATATATGATAGAAGAAGGTGTGTCTAGTATAAACACTATAGTGAATACTTTCATTAATCACTATCCCATGATTAAAACTAAGCACACGGCTGTGTCGATTAAAAGAAAGCTATTGTAGGAAGGTTGTTCTGCACTTTGCCAGGAGCAGGATATCCTGGAATTTCAGTTGACATTCATCCTCACTAACTAAGCAAATACAGGGGTATAAATAACTGTTAGCTTACTTATTCCTACCACAGATGAGTAACTGGAAGAGGTGCATTTTCACAGTCTGCTCAGAGACCTCAGCCCAAGGTTCCAGGTGAGAAAATCATTCTAAGAAAATGCATTTTATAGGACTATCTTTTTCCTGAAAAGGATACGCATTTCCTTTCCAAGGTGTACGCTTGCTCCTTGCTGCAGTTCCTACAGATGTCATTGCTATTCTGTAGGTTAAAAACTGTAACAAAGAAATTAAAATAAGTAAAAATCTGTAAAAAAATTATTTCAAGAGCTGTAAAGGATTGTTGCTGGCGTATTTGACATCACACACTGATCCATGAAGCAATGTCAAACCAACATTGTCAAACGTAGCTGATTCATTTTTGGCTACAAGCATATAAATATAAAGTCTCATTTTCAGAGCTGCCGAGCAACCCCAGCTCCCACTGAAGCCAGTGGGAGCTGCAAGTGACCAGCACACCTTTCAAAATCAGGCCACTTTGATTAAAGTGGATTTGGAAGCCTATTTTTAAGCAATGAGGTTGGAAACTTTTGACCTCAGAGTTAAAGAAAAAATTCAGAGGTGCAGTTGTAATAAGATACATAGAAATGTTTGTCAATGCAGGAAAGCTCCTCTAGTTTTCTTGAGGAGTGGATCACTGAAGTCCAAGATCCAGCGGCTCAGTATAGATGGAGACCCAAGATCCTGTTGGGTTATTCATAATCATTTGCTCCAACAATAAGCAAACAAGGTGCTTTGACCAGAAACAATGCTTCCTGAGTAACTTCTGCTGAAGTGAGGTGTCCATGAGACATGGCTTATAGGCATTTCAAAGTTGTATTGTCTTACGCGGAAGCTGTCTAAAGATTTTCTCTCTTAACACTAGACACTTCTGAATTTACTTTCCAGAAAACATGCACTCCTTTCAGTTACTGTGTTCTCTCCTCCTCTGCAATGCCCTGGTGGTAGCTGCCCAGAGAAAACTACAGAAGGTCCCGGAGCAGGAGGAGAACATCACACGGATAAGGATGCCTCAAACTCTCTCCCGAGGTGAGATGGTGAAGTCTCTGAGCAAAGCATTTATCTGTCTTAGCATTTCCATGTGAGGCCCATCCACATAACTTCTGGGCATCTTACCTTCGCAAAAATAATGTATAAACATGAATATCACCCATGCACCCTGGTAGTCAAATGATTTCTGTTGCTTCCCAATAGTTACAGTCAGTGGCTTCCCTCACTGCCATTCAGAAATATAGTCCCAAACCATTACTTAAAGAGGTGCACTTTGATTGGGCCCTGAAGGCCAGTAAATCCTGCCTTTGGCCCTTGGGGAGGTTGGGACATCTTCCACAGCTTTCAGCTTGTACGGGACTACAATGCTTCCAGACCCAAATTTGGATGGGCTGTGAAGGGGAGGGAGCGGAGTCTGAAGTTGCTCACCCTGTCCCAAGTTGCTGGGTGCCATTCAACTACTTAGAGGTTAAGCTCAATGTAGGCAGGAAGCAGCCGCAAACATAGCCTTCTGCCAGCAGGTTCAGCTGTGCCATCCCCTCCTGCCCATCTTGGCAGGCTGATGTCCGCAGCTATGGCTCCTGACTGCAGCCAGCTCCACTCTTCCTTCCGAGCTGCTCCTCTGCTGAGAGTCAGGGCAGCATCTTTCCTTCCTAGGGGCCAGGCACAAGGCCAGGAACCAGGAGGAAGAGGACAGCAATATTTGTAGAGTGAAAATCATGAGTTTTAGTATCCAGCCCCCAACTGTTTATGGGTTTGATCCTCAGCTGTCCTAAACTGATGTAGCTCCATTGACTCCAGGTGGATTAACTTGTTTTGCACTAGCTGTGGGACTGGGCCTACATATAGAATGTGGAAAATCCCAAGTTTTGAAAAGTATTGTGTAGATTTTTGATAACCTGCTTCTGTTGTTAGATTTCTTAAATGTTCTTCAAAGTTGGGTGTGTATCTAATCACTAAAGCACAACTGTCCTGTAAAATGTAGACGTTTGGAAATATTGAAATAATGTATATTTGGGTAATTGTCATGTAAGTGATCAAAGGAATATACCTGATTGGTCTTATCAAGAAAACGAGTAAATCTAGTAAGACCACAAAGGTCCCAGTCTTCACATAGACACACACAGAGGGGAAAAAAAGGATTATTACAAAAAGGGAGACAAGGATGAGATTGGAAGGCATTTATGAATTGTGGCAACTCTTGTTCCTATGCCCATTGTATGCTAAGTAAATGGGTTAATTATTGTATGTGGAAGTTAGACCATAGAAGAAAAAGATGTATGGAATGGGGCCATCCTCCATGAAAGGAGGTGTTTTAAATGAAGGGATAATGGGTAGTTTAGTGTTTGTGAAAAGGGGGTACAGATACCTGAGGGTATCATCTAGTAGAACAAAAGCATGTGTGTTACTGAACCATGTGAGTGGC